GTATGATGTTGGCTGTAGGTTTGTCATTTATGGCCTTTATTATGTTGAGGTACTTGCCCTCTGTACCCATTGTGTTGAGTTTTTATCATGAATAGATGCTGTACATTGTGATTTTAATGTGGGTTTCTCTGAAGACTAATGAAATTAAGCACCCTTTCATAAGCTTTTTGTGAAGTGCCTATTTGAGCCTTTTACTCAATTTTTCTATTGCCTTTTATTATAGAAACTATGAAATCTGAATTTTAAAATGGCTCTAAGGTGGATGGATTTGGATCACTGAATGCTTGGTGCATGACAGTGGCGTTGGCTGTGCTTCCTCCGTCCCACCCCACAGCCTTCCCCGGACTCCTATCCTGGATACTGGCCTCGTCACGTATACTTGCGCACCTAAACCCATGTTTAGCATTTACATGAACTAAGGTGTCACGCTGAGACTTTGTCCCCCAGCGTCACTTCTGACTCGCCCGTGGAATGCACGCGGCTCTGGCTCTCTTCCACCGTTGGTTCTGCACTTGGTCCATTTTCCTGATGTCGGTCTGTGAATCTTTCTAGGTTCTTGCTATCAGGAAGTGCTGCTAAGAGCACCTTCAACCACACTGGGATTTTTCTAGTCTGAGCTTCATGACGGAATTGTTGGGTTAGCCCTGAGGTTGTGGCTAATGGGCCAGCCTGGGGCTGAGCACACCCTTCATATATGGGATCCACAGGTTGCTCAGGCCAAGGCGTCTACAATCTTGCAAACCCCAAATCACGATGCTCAGGGACCTGGAGTGTGTTTCATCTTAGGGTTGGCTACAGGTACAGTTCTTAGGGGCATCTGAGTCAGGGCTGGGGGGGAAGGGGTGAATTCCAAAGGCCGCAGCTCTCTCAGTACCCAGCTGAGTTAGAGGCCCCCAGGCCTTGCACCTGGAGCTGGTCTGAGGGCCGGAGCAGGGGCCAGGGCAGTTGGAAACCTGCGTGGGACCAACAGGGTCCTCGTCGTATGGCTAAGGAACCAGGCACTGCTGGTTTACTGCAAGGTTAAATGAGGTCTGTGTTCTCTTCTCAGTCTGAGGTGAAGCCTGTGCATGCATCAGGTAGTGGGGAATGGGGGCCAGCCCCAGGCAGTCCGGAGGGAGAGCAGCCGAGCCAGAGGATCTCAAGCGGGCCCCTAGCCCTGAGGCTCAGGTTCTCCATCTGTCCAGTATCACCTGTGAGAAGCCTTGTGTGAACCTCAAGGCCCAGCTTGTGCACCCCCAGCTGCTGAAGGCTCCCTGACCTCATGCCCACCATCCTCACACTGGGTCCTGATCACTGGTCTCCTGCACCAAACTGGGAACTCCCCAAAGGCTGTGCCTGTGGCCCCAGAGCTCAAAGCAGGGCCTGGCAAGGCAGTGGGGTCGGGGTGCGTTAGATCTCCACCTGCCTGCTACCCTATCACAGTGCATGTGGCAGGGGAGCGGGGCAAGGCCAGGGCAACTCCGCCATCTGGCTAAGAAGTCACCTGGGTGGCCCACAGCCGGTACAGAAAAGCTGACCCCTAAGAAGCCTCGGAAGAACCTCACTCCTGTGGGAGACACGGGCAGCCCAGGTGCACCTGCTGTCTGGTGTCAGCACTAAGGGGGGCCTGCGAAACTGTCATCACATCCCTCGTGGCCAGCGGCAGAGAAGGACCCCAGGGGAAGTGCCCTCCTCCCACTCCAGGCCTCATGGCCAGACACGCTGTGATGGCTTCCTAGCCAGGCCCAACCCTACGAGGTGACCTTGCTAGTCAGACACAGGGGCTCCTGCCTGTCAGCCAGCATGGTCTGCCGCACAGCCTGAACAGTGCCTCGCTCAGCCGGGTCCATAAACGGGTCAACGCTGGGCCAGTGAAAGGTTTGGTAAAGGGTGAGGTAAGGCCAAGCAAGGGAGACAAGCCCACCCATCTGAAGACCTCCAGTGCCCTCCCCAAACCCAGGACTCCCTGCCTCGCCTCCTGCACCCCCGTCCCAGCAGTCAGAGGGGCACTGGCCTGCCCACAGCAGAGGAAGCATCCAGGCCTGGGCGGAGAGGCTGCCCCACATGATAACACAAGTTCTTTTGCGAGACGGACTGCCCCTTACAGACTGAGGTGGGGCCCCCGTGCCCGCACTGCGGTGGGACTCCTGGAACTGAGGCCCAGAGAATGGCCCACTTTTGGTGAAAGGTTTCAGTCTCCACAGCTGCCACACGACTTTATTTGTGAAGCCCCGGGCACGGCCCAGACACACACAGAGCACAAAGGGGAAAGCACAGGGCGTCCAGCGCAGCCCCAGCCCGGCCCCCACGCTGCCCCTGCCCAAGTCCTTTGAGAGGGCCGGAGATGCAGCTCAGGCATCCTCGGGCCCTGCCCCTGCCTCCCAGGCTGGAAAACAGGTTTGGGCCTGTTTGGGGCCAACGTGCCCCCTCCAACTTGGCGCCTGGGGTAGTCACAGACATCTCAGCAGCCAGGGGAGGCTCCGGGTCTGGAGTAGCACCATCCAGGCAACTCCCGCTCCTAGATCCTCGGCGTCTCCCACTGACTTCTCCTCCTGTACGCACGGTGTGGGCACCAGGGCTCTTGCCTTCCACTGAGCACCCCAGGGCCCCATCCGTGGCAGTCTCTCCCTCAGGCCAGGAAGTGAGCACAGCAGGGATGATGGAGTGGCAGTGGCTGCCTGAGCTCAGGGGCCAGAAGCAGAGGCAGCTGCCGAGTGCGCCTCCCCAGGCAGGGTGGGAGGCGTGGCCCAGCCACAACACAGAGGGCGGGGACAGCACAGGAAGAGCAACTCTCCAGGCTGTGGTGGCGCCCAGGAGGGTAAGGAAGGCAAAGTGGATGCGACAGCCTCCTGGGCCTCGAGCCAGGCACAGACCAGCGGCGCGCCCTCGGGTGGTGATAAATTTAACGGCAGAGCAGCTCGCAGCCCTTTTGCCAGGGAGCGGGTGGGAGTGGGGGGCCCAGCTCCCTTCCAGGGGGACAGGACTAGGCCAGTCCAGCAGAGAGACATTGAAAACCCAAACCCCAACAGGAAGCACATGCCTGCACAAGAACCACGCCAACACACATACTCTGGGGACCGACACGACACATGAGACAGAGACCCTCCCTGCCTCTGGCCAGAATCCTTCATCCGAGTCCCTCCCCAGGTCACGGTCCCAGCCGGAGACAGGGGAGGCCGGCGTGGTACCTAGACCTTATACAGCGTCTGCAGCAGGTTGTGGCGGGCAAAGGAGCAGGATTCCAGGGCACCGTTGGGCCTGTGGAGAAAAAGGGTCAACAGGTGGGTGGGAGCTCAGGCTACGCAGGGCCGATTTCCCAAGACAGAGAAGAGGTGAAGGGGTGTGGGGGCCATTTTTTAGGCTAAAAATTTTTCAGGTTCAGTTTTTCTAATTTTTACAATGACCATGCACAGGAAATGTCAGCCCTCACCTTTTGTACCCAGTGGGTGAGGGATGCGTGAGGCTCAACACCCAAGGCCACACTGCCCAGAGCCAGCCAGGGTGCGGCCAGCCCCAAAGGGAACCTGGGCCTCTGCCCTCCATGCGGCAGCCTCTCAAAGGGCCCTTCCAGTGGGCACAGTGCCAGGAAGCCCTCACAGCCACTAGAGTCCCACCTGGGCCCTCACAGGTAATGAACGGGCCTGGCCACTGTTCCCATCAAGATCATCAGTCTCACTGCACAAGGAGAAACTGAGGCAAGACACCCAGGAGGCTGGGTGATCGGCTGCAGCCAGGAGCCGCAGCCCACAGGCACCTTACCTGGTTCAGGCCGGCCTCGGGATCCCACACCACGCGGCCAGTAGTTGAGAGGGGGAGGCATACACGTCACGCCCTAGTGGGCGACTCTTCCTAACCCACCCTCTTTTCAGGTGGTGCACAGACAGGCCTGCGCTGGGGCGGCTGGGGAACCAGCTGGCAGGAGGTGGCCTGCCACTGCCCAGAGGCCCACGCCCAGCCCAGGGGCAATGCAGAGGACCACGGGAATGACTAGGGGTCAGAAGGAGACAAAGGGAGCTGGGCTGTCAGAGGGCCGCAGGTGGGGGCTGGGAACACTTGTCTGGAGGCACCTCAGACAGCAGGAGCCGAGCCCCGGGGCTCGAGGTGATGTCACCTGCTGCGGGAACAGGCGTGAGGAAGAGCGCGCCTCGCTGGGGGCTGGGGGCGCAGAGGCTGTGGCCAGCCACGCATGAGATCACCAACCCGGTGGGAGACTCGCCCGGGACCCAGCAGAGGGGCCCAGCCGTCAGTTCCGCTTGGCACACGGGCCACCCAGCCCAGCAGCAGAGGTGCCTCGGGTGAGCGTGCGGTCAGGGAGGAGGGCAGGTGTGCAGCAGCGTGAGGCCTGACTCCCGAGGCAGTGCTGTGCGGGTGGGACTGAGAGGCCATGGTACCAGCAGGTCCTGGGGGCCGGCGGGTATCCTCACCCCCCAGCCAGGTCGCCCCATGACACCTGCTCCAAGCCCCCCGACTGATGCTCAGCTCCACCTATGTTTCATGTCCCCTAAGATAGGACGAACTTCCTTTCCCTCTGTCTCCTCCCACTTTCCCCCGAGGAGCTGGATTCATGGGGGCTGTGGGGGGGTCAGAGCCCAGAGACAACCTCATCCAACCCCTTGGTTGGGCAAATGGGGAGACCACAGACTTAGTAAGGCCAGAGGTCAGCTGGGGGCCACACAGGGCCTCTGTGAGGACAGGGGACAAGCCTCCAGATCCATCCCTGGGGGGCCCCGGGATCTGGAGGCTCCTTGTTACTCAACAGTGGCCAATGCCCCACCAGGCCCCAGGACAAGGACAAGGTTTCCCTGTCTCTAGGTACTGGCACCCCCAGGGGAGGGGCCTCTGGCTGCAGAAGGCTGGTGTGGCCTAGGTTGCTGAGGGAATGGACACAGAACTGCTCCCAGAGACATCACTACGCGCAGGAGGTCGGCAGTGTGACGGTGAGCAAACTCCTTAACTGACGCAGAGGTCGTTGCCTCATCTGGAAAATGGAGGCCGTTACATGTCCTCTGTCTCTCTCAGAAGAAGACACTGACCCTGAGCCTTATGTCCTGAGCTTAGCACAGAGGACCCTCACAGGAGAGGTAGGACTCGAACATGAATGCCGAGAGCCCGGCAGGTGTGACGGCCTCTCACAGGTCCAGTCACCAGGCCGGGAAAGCCTCTGCCGACTTGGGGCCTGTGTGCGGGCCATGGCCACCATGAGCGGCTGTGGGCACACTCACTTGGTCACGAATGCCAGCAGCAAGGGTGCCAGGGCCTTGGGGAAGTAGTCCTGCTGCACCATGTGGTTCAGCACCATCAGGGGGCCGTACAGGTTAGCAATGGCCTTGATTTTGTCTTCACTCTGCAAGGAGAACACACAGAAGGCAGGGTGGGCCTCAAGGCTACGTGGGAGGCCCCACGTCCCCACTGTTCCCTGCCCAGAGACCATCACGGCCCAGGTCAGGCTGAATCCCACCAGGAAGGCTGAGGCTGCTTATGCAGACCAGGCCCAGGGACGGTGTGGGGGGTGGTGGTGCAGGCCACTGGGATGGGGCGGGTGGGCGTGGCTGGAACAGCCTCTGGTGCACTCCCTATCCTCCTTTCCACCCGCCGCTCTGCCCAGCTGTACCTTAAGCAGGCCCATGTGAATGAGGAGCCTGGTGAGGAAGGCATTGGAGTTGAAGGAAGATGAGCCGAAGGCCTTCTTCATCAAAGCATCTGCCAGGCAGAAGGGCACTCACTGCAGCACAGGGCTGGGCCCTCCCTCCCGCCCCGATCAGGGCTGGACACAGGTACCCAGCCGAGAGGACAGCCAGCACCGGCGGAAGGCCTTGGCCTGTTTCCTGTGACCCCTTGGCCCCTCTCTGTCCTGGCCTCACATGTAGGAGGGACTGGGGAACCTGGCACAGCAAGGGCAGAGTTTAAGCGAGGCGGATCACTGCCGGGGGAGGTTTCAGCCACTGTGTGGAGCAGAGGGGTAACAAGTGGAGAAGACGGGAGAGGAGTGGCCTGGGGCTTGCAGGGACTGCGAGGGCACTCGCTTCTGTGCCAAGCTGTTCTGGGAAAGAGAATTCAGGTAACTTGTTCCCATAGATGCCAACAGGGTTGGGATGTCAGGGACAGAGCTGGGAACTCCCGCCCGGCCCTCGCCGGCCCACCCAGCCTCGCTTCCTCCTGACCCTCCCTTCTCAAGGCCGCCCCGTGTGCCAGCCTAGGAGAAAGCACCACACGTGTTTCCACTCGTTTCTACTCCCCTTTTCCACATGCTGTGCCCTCACCTGCAGGGCCCTTCCCTCTCTGCCTAGCCAACCTGGCCCACATCGGGAGGCTCAGACATATGTCACCAAGGTGGAAGGAGATGGTGCTATAACGGAGGCAACTGAGGGAATGGGTGGCAAGGGAGGGTTGTGACAAGACCAGAGATCTAAGGAGGCCTCGTGAAAGGCCTGGGTAAGGAGGGCGTCCTCCCTGCAGGCGACCAGGGGGTGGAATGTGTGTGCAGAGGCTGAGGTGGGGCGAGGCTCAGCTATCATGACCTCTCCTCTGGGAAGGCCATCTGGTTTTCCCGAGGCCTGAGTTCTAACTGTACATGGTTGTACGGCTTTGATGGGAAGGGCCTCAGTTCCCCCATCTGCAAAAAACCAGAGAGCACCCAGCCTCCTCTATGGCAAGAGCCCTACAGAAAGGCAGGGCGGGGGGGGGTGCTAGCAAGCAGTTCACCTATCAGTCTGGTGTGGAGGGGTCCCGGGACCGTCAGTGTCACCTGAGCCCTGGAGCAGTGAAGAGGCAGAGCCGTGCAGGCCCCCCCCCCCACGTTACCTACTACATCCTGCACAGCAGTCCGCACTGTGGCTTCATCCCTGAACACAGAGGACACCTTCAGGAAGGTGGTGACCACCTTCTCTGGGTCAGATGTGTCAGTCTGAGGACATAGGAGACAATGGCTGGTCACCAGGGGCCAGAGCCCCAGGCCTCTCATGGGCAAGGACAGGTCTTACCCCACACTGTCCCCAGAGCCTGGTACCAGCCAGGCCCACAGCAGGTTTACATGTGCTGAGTTGAGTGAAAAAGGCGTTACAATTCATTATCCGTGGGACCCAGTGATCCCTATCATCTAATCCCATCTAATCCAACTGGAAGAAATAATCTATAATGCAGACAACATTCACATGCAAGGAAGCTTAACACAATTTCACCAAGAACAGAGGAAAGTGGAAACAACGTAAATGTCCAGAAACAGCCTAAGTGCTATATCCATTCACTGGCACAGAGGGCATGCAAAGAGTTTCAGTGACAGAAAACAATGAATGGCATTAAATGAAAAAGTGGGCCACAAGGTTTGTATTATATAATCTTACTTATCACTAAACAAAAAAAAAAAGTACAGATAAAACATTAAAGGCAATCAGCCAAAAATACTATGAGTGGGCCTGTTTTATTTCTCTATTATTTATCATTTAGTTTTGGTTCTCTCATCTATAAAATAGGATACCAGGGCCTGCATCTCAAGATCCCAAGAGAGTTAAATAATAAAACCATGTCCACGTTCTCAGAACAGTGCCTGGCAGATAGGGGGTGCTTTGATAATCATCTCAAAGTGAATGAATGAATGAAAGAATGAATGAATGAACCAACCAACCCACCCACCCAAAAGTGAGGCTGGAGCAAGGGCACAATAAGCATGTGACCTCTGCAGGGGCCCTGGGCAGCAGGACAGTTGTTCTAGAAGCAGCTGGTCCTACAGAATGTGGAGAGGAGCCTAGAGCCCTGGGAAGCCCCTAACTGCAGTGGCCTGGAGGCGTGGTAGGCCTGCCCTTTCTGGAGCCTGTGGTGGGTGTGGTCATCTACAACCACAGGAGGTCAGCAGACCCACTGGTCACACTCCGGCCGCTCTGCTCCTTCAGCAGCCGCCCCTCCCAATCCCGGGTTCTGCTTGTCATTCCCCTGGCAGGCCCAGAGGCCTCGGCAGGGCACGTTGCGTGTGTGGAGCAGGACGCGCTGTTACCTGCTGGGCTATCAGCACAGAGCTCTTGGGCCCGAGGCGCAGCAGCTTCTCTGGAGAGGGGAAAGCCAGGAAAGTGGAGAAGTCTGCGGGTGGCGGGGTGGACAGCACAGGGGCTTGTTCCTGAGGGGGCAGCACAGCGGCTGTTCAGGTCTGAGTCCAAACACCCCACCCAGCACATGTGCCCTGCACTCTGGCTAATGAAGGCTCAGAGTCTGGAATGCTTCCTCCCACGGTGTGCAGTTCCCCAGGGGGCGGGGGGCCTGGAGACACTGGCCCTGGCTGGCCCCCAGGGCAGGAGCCTCGAGTTG